AGATAACGGGTATACACTTTGCGCATTTTGGTCTGGAATCGGGTATGGTTTTCGAGGGAACCACGGATCAGTGTATATGAAAGTATTTATCGTTTCAATTCCAAATGAGTAAGAAAGAAAGAGACATATGCGAATTCGGAATGGATTTGTATAGTTTTTGGTTTGCCCTCTAATCTAAGTAATGATAACATAATTTCTGCCTAATGGCCAGGTCTTGAAACGGGTATGGATTTTAAAGTTCTAGTCTGAAAACGGCAGTGTAAAATTTACATTGTTTGGTCTGAAATCGGGTCAGGATATTGAGAACCGGGCGGCACACCCCCACCAAGCGTGATTCACACCCCAACCAAGACTGTATAAAGATTGTATTCTAGTTAGGCGAAGCTAAATAAATAGGTTCCCAGGAGGTCCTCCCCGGGGTTACCTCACCTACCTGGGGTTCCCCACCTCTATGTAAACAAGCCCCTAGGCTATGTCCACACGCGAATCCAGATATTCTTGAGACCGCAGAGTTTTTTGACACGAATCATCCTTCCGTTCACACGAGAAAAGGTGAATCCGGTCAACGAAACCGGTCTCCAGAGGCGGTTTAAAGCCCCGTTCACGCGAATCCAGATAAAAAATATGTGGTTTTGAAAATGCCCGGATTCGTGCAGACATGACCGTAGAGAGGCTCATGCCAACACTGCGCCCCTCATACTTAATTGCATAAATTTGGGTAAAACCTTAATTTCTTTGCATTTCTCGTGTATAACAAATCTGCAGAGGCAAAATTGTTTTCATATCAATATTCTACGATCTCTGAGATTGTAGGTTTGATTTGGAATGATTCCAGTTTTATTTGTGACGGCGTGACAGTGAAAACCAGCAATATAATATCACCCCGCACTTCACAGATGGATTTTTCTAAGGGAAAAAAGTTTCCATAATATAAGAGACCATAACAACTATCTTTTCACAGACGCGTTGCCAAATTCTTGGCTTTAATTCAATTCTTCTTAGCTGTATTTTGTACATAAAGCTTTTAAAATTAGCGTGGCTCATTTTCACTAATTTTGAACTTGTATCACATTATAAAATTAATTCCGTTATAACATGAGAGAATGATTCTCTCTTGGTTATAATGACCATCTTAGAAAAACGACGCGATTCATTGATGTTACACGTCTTACATGCTTTTATCAGCCGCGTGAAATTTTTCCTCAAAAGGTTTAAGAACATTGATTCGTAGCTTTACAAAAAAGATGAACCGGAAATATGAGCTAAAACAGGCAGTAAACGATTAGTTTAAAACGGAGAGGAAAATTTAAAAGAGCGAAAACCTTTGACCTTAAACTGAGGCAGATTTTCAAATAAGTCTTGGTACGGTGGAAGGTCCCTTTATCAAGACTTTAAGATGAAGGTGGCCTAAACGCCACAGTGCTACGGGCCTCGACCCCTAGATCCGCTCCTTTAAGAGGATTTTGACCCTTAAATTCAGAATATCTGATAAGGACACCCCGTTAACTGGGACAAATTCTATGGATCCCTTAGTGTCCCTTTTCTCTATTGATGTCCATAGTAGACCCTTGCATGGTTTTCAACTTTTGTTAAAGAGCAGTGAGCGAATATCCATCAACACTGCCCTGAAAAGAGGACCTTGACCTTGACCGTTAACTGGGACACATTCTATGTATCCCTTAGTGTCCCTTATTCTCTCTTGGTGTCGTGCATAACTTTTGTTAAAGAGCAGTGAGTTTAAAGGTGCTAAGTGAAAAGAGAGAAAAAGTTATTGCTCCATAGAGTCGACCCTTTACAGACGTTTGTATCGTGGTAGCACGAGCAGTTGCCCCCTGCCATCAAAACGTCTGTAAAATTCGTGGAATTTGCGGTACTATATGGTCGTTAGTTTTCAACAAATTGCTTTAAAACTTGGCAACTTTATTGATTTTAAGACGTAATTTCCGTGTGTACGGATTTCGCTTCCTGGTCCGAGCCAAAAGGAGAAAAATTCTTAGCATCGTTTGGCTGATCCATTTGCCTGTTCCCATCACCTGTATTCTGGACCACATATTGATATCATAAGGAGTTTCAACTCACTCTTGAATGACAGAAAGTTGAATTGGGATTGACTTTTTTAAGGTAAATTGTCATTGTCTCTTTAGCTTGTCTACATGCAGCCTGTTTAATGTCACTCTATCCTACGCAATTAATTAAAGACCAGAATCTAGTTGCAGATACTCTTAATAGTTAATTTACAAATGGAGTAGACAGCTTGGGCATCCAACCCTGCTCTACTTTTGAGAATCAACCGCACGTGTGATCATAAACAGTTCGAACTCAGCTTAACGAATCATGAGCTAGAGAAAATAAAAGCAAACAAAGCGAGAGGTCATGATCACATACCTCCACGTCCTCTGAAGGCGTCTATTCCGTCAATAACAAGGCCTTTAAGCCATTTAATAAACACTATTATTAGTTCTAAAGAGGTCCCCAATTCCTGGAAACGAGGTGAGACTGTGCCGCATTTCAAAAAGGACTCGCAGCTGGAGAAAGTGAATTATAGACCTGTTACAGTTCTTCCATCGCTTTCCAAGATCTTTGAACAAATCCTACGTCAACAACTCAGGGGCTGACCACTTCGAAAATATATTTCATAAGTACGTGTTCGGGTACAGGAAATATCACGGCTGTCCTACAGCACTTCTCTCTTTTACTGAACAATAGAAGGAAGATCTTGACAAACACAATATCATCGGTACGATTGCCATTGATTTGAGCAAGGCTTTTGACTGTCTTTCACACGATCTTATCTTGGAGAAAATAAAATTCTATGGCCTAAGTGATCATGCGTTATCTTTAATGCGTAGCTATCTCTTCTCTCGTTATCAAATAGTAAAGCTTAGTGATACTTTCTCCACATGGCAAAAAGTGTCAAGAGGGGTCCCACAGGGCTCTATTTTAGGACCTACATTATTTAACATATTCATGAACGACCTGGCACACCCAATTAAACAATGCAGAATTGTTCATTGTTCCTGCAAAGATGTTCGTGCTGTCCAAAACAACCTTAGTATCGATCTTGAGAATTTTATGCTACTTCATGGTTTATTCAAAATGGCATGAAACCTAACCCAGATAAATATCAGGCTATGGTACTTGGCAAAACGGAAGACAAATTGAACTTTAAATCAGCTGATATTGACATTAAAACCACAGAAAAGACTTGTCTTCTGGGGGTTGTCCTTGATAACGAGTTAACATTTGAGGATCATATTTCAAGTATTTGTCGCAAAGTAAGTGCTCAGATAAGTGCTCTGAACAGATTGAAAAACATTTTGCCACTTAAAACCAAGGAATCGCTTTATCGCGCATTTATACTGCCGTATTTTAACTATTGTAACCAAATCTGGCAACACTGCGGAAAACGAAACACTGCTAAAATCGAGAAAGTCAACGAAAGGGCGTTGAGGTACATCTTCAAAGATAAAAGTGCATCTTATCAAGATCTCTTGGAAAGAATTGAACTCCCATCATTAGAAACTCGAAGAATCCAAGACATACTATTGACAATAAACAATAGTATATCGGACAAAGCTCCACCCGCAGTTAGAGATCTTATCACCTTACGCTCATCCAAGTACAATCTTCGACATGATTATATCCTTTCATTGCCTAAAGTTAACACGACTAAATACGGTCTCAAATCTTGGAGATATTTTGCCGCTAAGAAATGGAACGAGCTAGCAAATGACATTAGAATTAAAGCAGGCACCAATGAAGTGAAGAACAAGATTCGATTGCTTAACTTTTGACTGAAATCGGGATTTATAGTAATTGCTGCCTGTTTCTTGTTGTTCTTGTTTAATCGATTCTTAGCTTTTACAGTTTTCATATGATAAATTATTGTATATTTTTAGTTTTTACTTTTAAATTTTTGTTTTTTTGTTTTGGAATTTTAAATTTTAGGAATATAATTAGGGTATAATTAGGGCCTTGGATTACCTGTAAACTAGCTGATAATATCCACGTTAAATAAAGTATCTTATCGTATCGTATGCGCTCATTAAACCGGCCAAACTTAGAACCGCTTGTTAACCGCCCGGTTCTGACTAGAGGTGGCTTTCAAAGATTTTTTGACTGCACGGAGAGTGTTTAAGAAATTCACACCCAGTATGAATTGATTCCACTTGTGGTGTTGCCCTCTACATGTTTGTCATTTACGCTGTACTGTGTTAACTGCTTCCCCCGTACTGACGCACGTTTGGCTACCAGCGGAAATAATCCTGCTAAATTTCCACCAGAGCCGGTCGGTGGGACAATGTACTCGCCACGCTTACTGTGTGTTCGAACACACATTATAACGCGAGGAAGACCTAATTCATGCATAATAGAACAGTAACTACTAAAGCGCCGGAAATCATTACGATAGCGATGGTAGACAATTCTCCGGTTCCGTTATCTACAGTGAATTCTTTTGGCTATGGTGAGGTTTGTATTTCTTTTGCAGGCGTTTTAGGATAGAGAGTTGCCACGGTAACATTTGGCGAGGAGGTTGGGGATGATGTGCACTCGTCATAGAAATTACTGTCATCTGTTGGACAAGTTTTCGGTGTGGACATTTTATTGGTGGAGCTAGAAGAAGTCGAGAGGCTCATCGGTTGCGTTGGTTTCGGATCATTCAGACAACCTTTGTCTAATGGATTATCAGTCGCCATTCCACTCTGCTGGGGTTGTATCATCGAAATTTTATGTTCATCCAGACCTCCCCAACATTCCAGTGGAAATACTGTGAAGTCAGATCTCTTGCTTTTGGCATTAAATTTCAGAGCAGTGACGGGAAGAGTGTTTTTATCTGTCAAATACCCTTCATCCACTTGCCATATTCTGGCCTTGTTGTCACAATTGCAAAATTTAGCGGCACTCTTACAAGTTGGCGGGTCATGCATTCCGCATGCGCATTTTTCACTTCCGGGTTCTGCTCCGCCCCAATAGTTTTGTCTCTCCGAGTCACGTGACAGCTACGACGCGTGAGGAGGCCCATCGGGCGAATTTAGAAGCTTAGAAAAGAAGCAATGAAACCTAACATGTTGGCGACATTTGCTGCTTTTCCTAATTAGTTGTTCAATTTGTTCCATACCAATTGAGTACGTTATTTCGTGTAGATAATCAGATCCTTTTATAATCCCATCTCCTACTCTCGTTTTAGTCATTTTATCGTGACGTATTGTCGTTTTTGCGGCATCCCGGGTTAAATTACAATATGCTGTACATGGCGTTCCACCACCTACTGAGTCAAGCAAACATAAAGCACTTTTTTTCAACCCCGTGGCTTTGTAATATTCCCATGTGGCCTTGTAAATGGAAATATCGCAACGTTCCCCTTCAAATACGGTGTATTTACAATTACAGTAAAACCTGTCCCACGTCTGTGTACATATGCCTCGGTTTTTACACGGATTCGGCTGGCAGCGATTCTGTAGGCGGCAAGTGTTTCGCAAATTTATATTAGTGTCTTTGCCGCTTTTCTTCAGATTTTTCACTGTAATCCTATGACCGTCTACCTGTAAATTGTAAACGCACCCAACGAAACCAGGAAAATTTCTCTCTTCAAAGGCACCAAGAAATATTTTCAGGCGAGATTTATTTGCGAAGTCAAGCATTAAAGGCCGTGACTGGTTCAAAGGTTCTGTCCGGAATTTCTCGTCGAGTTGCAAGCAAGCTTCTCGCCCTCTGACACTAGCATTGACTTTATGCCATTCTCCATCGTCAAGTTCAGAACCCAGTTTTAATGTTGTCCTTGATCGGTTTGGAGCCATAACATTAAAAATCAAAGTGCCATGTGACAATCGCAAATTTAACTTGACCTTAATTGCGCTTCGTGATAACAGAAGGCCTTGTTTGATGTATGTACGAAAGTAAAAACTCGTTGAAAATGTGTCGTTGTCTGCGTGTAACTTACGTACAGTCACTCGATAACCTGTGTTCGGATTCGGAAGTGTTACTACCCTATAATCGAGTTCCTCGCACTTAAATGCCACATTCCCGTACACTCTGACTTCTGAACTTTTGATTTTAGCCTTTCTGATCAGGTTTGCATCACGGAATGTAAGGTCTTCAATGCACCCGCTAAAATTACGGCTCTCAGGACGGTAGATCTTATAGTCGGAAGACCTCATTCCACCAATGAAAATGTTGCCGTCGAGGTGAAGATCTTGGTAGTCTGTTTGAACGATTTTTGGTCTTCGCAACTTATCCACCTCAAGAATAGCAGTTCTTCCACGTTGTTCTAAGGTGACATTGTGCCATTCGCCGTCGTTCAACTTCTTATTTGCGTTTAATATTTTCACCTTTCCACGTTTGTGGATGCCTCCGATATATGCTTGATAACTAGAGAATAAAAAGTATATATTTTAATCTTTTAAAGACATATTTAATGTTCGTCTAAACAAAAAAGCTCTCAAAACGTTTCTCAGACAACGAATGTCATCCAGAATTTGTAAGAGCCAGTATCCATCACTAGTCCGTTTGTTTCTAGTGAATAAAAAAAGTAGCCATTCCAGCGCCTGAATTTAGGAAAGTTAAAGTGCAAGGCATATTCTTTCAATAATCAATGTGGCCCATTCCTGTCGGTTGCTTCTCTTCGCCAACAACTGTTGGAAGAAGCTACTGTAGCTGTACTCTTGGCAGAACTATAGATATATAATGGCTACAATTACAGCCATAGTTGCCATCGCTTCAGTCTTATTCTAATGCTAGCCCTCCGGCTTTAAGAATGACGAAAGTGTTACTCCTTGCTACGGATAAAAATCTTTCCCGCGTTGATACAAATATGAACGCACGAGTAAGATTAAGTTTACAAAATTTTGAAAACAACTGTCGACGTTGTGGCATTACCCAAATCATTTTTTATGTAAAGACTACAAAAGGGGGAGTGCCTTTCTACTGTACTATAATATTAGATATGAATCAAAATCACAGGAACAGCCTTTGCAAATTAAAATGTTAATCAAAATAATTTGGCCGAACTCTTTTGGTGGTCTGGATGGTTTGAGTGGTGAGGCTTTGGGCAAGAATTTCATTGAAGATACTTAAATGCGATGGTAAAAGGCAAGATATCAGTGATATATCTTTGGTAGCATTGACGCGTAAGCCAATTCAATTTGGACTTTGTTTCACATAGCATATAGTACACTGGAAGCACCTTAAACTAACGTTTTAATAATCCGAATGAAAAATGTAGGTTTTTGCGGCACTGATTTAGGCATGAAAAAATAAGTAGACAAATCTGATCGATTCAAGCGGTGTTTCAAACATGAGTAAGAGGGAAAATTGATTTTTATAGCCCTCCTACGGTGTTGCAGATAAAGCCATTTAAGGCCATGTATATATTTTCCGCAGAAAAAAAAGAAGGGAATTGATATCTAAAAGGATCAGTATAAAAACATGCAGTGTATAGAAATGTAATAAAATGTATGCGATTTGTTTCAGTAGCGAGCAAATAAGTAAGATTTATTTCGCACAGGAGAACTTGGCGAATGGTGATTATAAGCGGAGAGGCACACAAAGAAATGCACAAAAATAAGGAATACATATTCAAAAGAATTAAACAAAGTCGTTGTACAGAAAAATACTGCATCGATCCGATTTCTTTTAACGTTTTGTTGTTTAAGTAGGTGTTCTTGATAACTGCACAGTTCTTTTCGGTTTCTTTCATGGAGGACACAATCTTGCCAAAGTTTAATTTTGTGTGATTCATTGCATTGTTTAAGTAGTATAGGAGGGATGTTTTACTCCACTTTTTTGAGCAGGAATCTCATAAGCGTGAGCAAGAATAAATTAACGCCGATGACGTCATAGGCTATTGTCTTGATCTCATGAATAAAATGCTGTGGTATCTCATTAACTTGCGGTGGAATCTCATTAAGTGTATCCAGTTTGACGGGTTTATCAATGATGTCATGTTCTATTTTTATCTTGTGGTGGTCATGGTTGGTATAACCGGTTTGACAGGTTTTAGTTATTTTCGAAAGATGATGTCATTTTTATTCCGGGGTACTATGATGTCATAGTTGTTTTGAATTAGAAAGACGCTCATTGGCTGTCTCGTTTGACGAAGCATTCTGGTTGGTTGCCGTATTTTTTATTGTTTGAACGGCATAAAAGCCTGCTCACTGCCTTCCCGCATATTAATTATGTGCCTAGTCAGTGTCTTCCTGCATATTAATTAAGTGCCTAGTCAGTGTCTTCCTGCATACTAATTCGGTATAAGCTTACTAATACGTCGAGCGTCACTCTACTTCAATACAAACAATAGGCTTGCCTAGACTTGCCCGGTAAGTAACTTGATTAAAAGGAAAATAAGAGCGATCACCTAGCAACGCGAGAAACGGTTTCCTATATCTTATTTAGCGCTAAAACTCGGATATATAAAGAAAACACACGCACATATACACAAATTGGAGCTGAAAACGCTTTATTCCAAGTTTGTCTGACTATTACAGAACCGTTTTCCCCATCTATCTCAGGAAATGAGAGTCTTGTCATTTTCACGCACGGTTAGTTAGGTAATTATGCGAGTTCACAAGCCCAAAAAGTTGAATACAAATTAGCTCTACAGGAAAAACCTCAAGGGAGCATATTGACGTATTATTATAAAACAAATTACTTAACAAGGATCAATTGATTAAACGCGTGACTAATAATTGCTAGCAATAAACACAGATACCGTTTTAAAAACTTTATTAAAAACAAAAAGAGTCAAATACACAGCGATTAGTAAGGAAAAGGAATGAAAATTAATCCTTCGACTGACTATTACAAATCTGTCTTCTCTGTTCTATTTCAAGCAATAATAAATAATCCTTCCGTGTCTAGACAATTACCCAATGGCCTCTAAGCCAAGAGTTCGACTTTCTTTGTTTCTTTCGGTTTGTCTTGTTCTTTGTAGTTGTTCTTTTAGCTTTTGCTTTAAAAGAGGCTTTATTTCTTCGTGATCTTGACAGTTCGTACACCGTTTCTTGTGTCTGTACTGGACTGCGAGTACTAGTTGAGTGATTTTTTGAGGAATTATCCGCTTCACTTTCGTAAACGACGACTTACCGGAGATAGAACGAAAATGTTGGTTTCAATTTGCAAAATTACAAAATACCAATGCGATTCGTGTGTATGACAAGGAAGCTGAACCCAAAAGAATTCTTTTCCATAAATGAGAGAACGCACAAATCGCATTGGTATTTTGTAATTTTGCAAATTGAAGCCAATATTTTTGTTCTATTTCCGATAACTCGTAGACTTGAGTTAAATGATTTGCTAATCGAACTAAAAATTTAGAATGACATCCCGGTATGGGGCAGTGTTTACATGTTAGTTTCTTCAGGCTGACAGGACGAATGTTAGATACAAACTGAGTAAAACTATTTGCGACACGAAATTTATTGTTGATTTTCAAGGGCAGATCGGGCAGAAAGGGCAGAAAGGGCACCTTTTTAACCCCTTTGTTTTTTCCCCTGGGCGCACCGTGGAGATCTCGCGTGTAAGTCGTGCGCGTCGAGTCAGGAAACAAGCCACGATTAAATTCGACCAATGATTTATTTACAAACTAATTTCCTATGTACAAACATCGGTAAAAAGCTACGCAAAAAAAATACTATTTACAACTAGAGGCGATCTTATATAAGTATTTTGGAAAACTATTTTGAGAGTAATTACTAATTCACGGTCAAAACTTTTTTTATTAGGCACTGTTATTTGTGATTACACTGAATAAAGATGATGATTCCAATGTTAAGAGTTGTTGCGTGACTAGCGATGCGTGACACCCACGCGTGTGTCTGAGAAAAAATAAAGACACATGACTAGAAATGGCCCGTTTGTCTCCTTTTGTCCCTTTTGGCCTGGTTTTGGCCTTTCAGGCCTGGTTATGGCCTTTCTGGCCTGTGTTTGGCCTTTCTGACACTCTATATAACCTGACTATTTGCGAAAAAAGATGTCACTGTTGTGTTTATCCATCAAACTGTCAACATGGTTTACAAGAGAGTTTGCATAAACCGTCCTATTTCATCGTGTGGGGCGAAGTACCTTGTCAGATTAGCTAACCATCTCGCGGATGTTCATCTGTTAGACCACATACAGCGAAGACAGTATTTACAAGAGGCGAAACTGCAACCTAAAGTTAAAGTCGTCGTTTACGAAAGTGAAGCGGATAATTCCTCAAAAAAATCACTCAACTAGTACTCGCAGTCCAGTACAGACACAAGAAATGGTGTACGAACTGTCAAGATCACGAAGAAATGAAGCCTCTTTTAAAGCAAAAGCTAAAAGAACAACTACAAAGAACAAGGCAAACCGAAAGAAACAAAGAAAGTCGAACTCTTGGCTTAGAGGCCATAGGAAAATTGTCTAGACACGGAAGGATTATTTAATTTATTTCTGCTCACGCTTATGAGATTCCTGCTCAAAAAAGTGGAGTAAAACATCCCTCCTATACTACTTGTTTAGTATTTTGATAGATAATTAAAAGAAGGTTATTCAGTCTCCAAAACTGCAAGGAACAATAATGCGGAGTCTGATTAGTTGGTTTCTTTAAAAAAAGTGGTCGAAGAAATATTTGTGATTTCGACAGAGTTCTCGCTAATTTTAACAACAAATTTCCTCTATGACACAAAATGTTTATTATTGTATCAGTGTAAATAGTTAAAGAATACGAGAAATCAAGGTCAACAAATATTTCATTGACAAAAACATTCGCCCAGTAAGGAACGGATGTTTATAAATTTTAAAAAGGTTTTTTCGTAGAACTTCCTCAGTTAGCCATAAACACAGCTAGTTTCCTTGAAATCTAATAATTTATCGAAAACATTCCTTAGGATCCCTTCGCTTATTTTTGTTTTGAAAACAAAGTAATCTTATTATATATTTTAAAAACCGATCTAGATATTTATCGCTTTGTTTTTATGTACAGTATTATACATTGTTTCCATGCAGATCCTAAAATACACCCAAATAAAAAATAAGAGAAAAAATGAGAGATTGCTAGGAGCAAAAACCTTAAGAAACTAAAAAAAGAAGTATAACATTAATTTTCTTTTGCAACTGAATTGCAATAACTGCCAATGAAAGGAAAATAAGACGCAGTGTTTCGGCTTGTACTAAAACATGGAACGCCGGAATGCCGGAATGCCGGAATGCCGGAACGCCGGAATACTGAAACCGGGAACACAAAATTACTAAAACCCGGAACGCATGAAAAATAAATAAATTAAAAAATAATAACTATAAATAAAAAAAAACTCGAAACTCGGATGTTAGGATCCCAAAAAAATGTTCTACCCGATTACCAACACTAGGCGTTGATTTCTGCGTTCTGCGTTGATTTCTACCGGGTTAATTTTCCTGTTTGAATTGAAGTACTCAGTTATGGGTTTAAGAAATACAGGTTTTAATTAATTCATTCATTTCTTTCTTTCTTTTTTATTTACTTTAGCTAAAATGCGTTCCGGGTTTTAGTAATTTTGTGTTCCGGATTTTAGTATTCCGGCGTTCCGGCATTCCAGCGTTCCATGTTTTAGTACAAGCCCAGTGTTTCCTTTTCAACAGACCTACTGTATTACATGTCGGTTAAGAAAAAGATGCGTTCAATGAAATACCAAATCAAAACAAAAGGCTTCTTTTCAATTGTTCCCATATCTTCAAGCTTGGCCCAGTAGTTGGTTTTACAACTGTTTACAAGTTAGCAAGATTTTCTCACACAGCGAACATATAAAAATTAACAACACACTTACCGCACTTGTCCATGAAAGAAGTCAAGCGGAAGGTACTCATCAGTTTTAGCTCCTTTGGAATACAAAAATAGACCGTTTGGATGAATGGTTTGGAATCGCAATTTGACAACAGTCTGTCTGGATTCTTCACCAGATTTTAGTTTGTAAGTCATAAATTGTCGACCTCTTAGTTTCACTTGAGAAGCGTGTAATCTCATCGAGGCAACGGCGAGGAAAATCAACAATAACTCTATATTTTTTCTTAGATCCATCGTCTCGTGTTTAGCTCTCGTGATGTTTTGATATATTAGCAGTTATCTCTTTTGGTATCAGCTGAATCAGCTCTAATGCTCGGACATCTTGTCCCCAACTTTGACATTGGTTTAATTAATATCTATCTTAAGTGTTAATTGAACGTTAATGAGTAAAACCTATAATCAGATAAGTTAAAAGGGATAGACTATAAAAACAGCAAAAGTCTGTGATTAATCGGATGAGGAAGAAAAGAGAGATAAGAAAAGTGAAGGGACAGAGAAACTGTCAGGCAATAAGAAACTCAGTTAAGGAAATTGTAAGTCTATTACTTAAAAATAAATCCTATTGTCCTTCTGAGAACGACTCCATCACCACGTGTCAAGTAAAACCTCTAGAGCTTATCACTTGTGGAAAGTTCGTTTACAGTGGTGCAGAACAGTTTGGTATGATCCTGGTATCTCTCGCCTCGTCGCCTTCAGCGAGCGATCAAAGCTCCTTGTTTATCCATAGAAGAGTTTTGGTACATGTACGAACCCGGTCCTCTTTGCACGACCGAGTATTTCTGTTTCTGCAAGACTTCTATACCGTCTCTCCAGTTGCTGAAATCAGATCAATTTGGTTCAGTCGTCCTTTTTGTTTGTTCTCAATTTTTCCTCACAAAAATCAGAAGTTATGGCTTTTTTTTCTACGTTAACTACACACTGGTGAGTAGCGCGAAAACGGACAGGACCACGTGCTCATTGCTACAGAGGGACATGGCATTTTCCACATTGAAGTAAATAAGGACTATGATGATGTTGACCTTTTAAACTAATGACTTTTAATCCCTGCTATATTTATGTGTTGTTCAACATTTGTATCTTAGTATGCTTATTTTAAGGCCCAATCAACTAACTTTACAAACTTATAGCCTGCGAACGGCAGACGTTTCTCCTCGCTCATCGCCGCTGAGGGACGTTTCGCGAGGAGGAAGCACGTAATTTAATCTTAGGTTATAACGCAAACTTACTAGTTTATTATTTCAATATGTCTTTTAAAGACATGTTCTCTTGGTTAGATCAGCTCATAAGTCGACAAAATGATTTCTTTTACAATACAATGAAAAATTACCAAGCCCAATTGGAACCATTTTCAGGACGTGAATCGCAAGATATTTATTGCTGGCTTGAGAAGATTGAGAATCAATTGAAGTCCTGCGGTTGCAAACTAGATTCGACATGTTTGGCCGCCAATTTAGCTTGTAATTAACAGGCCTCGCGGAGACCTTCTATTTTTCTCTCGAACCGGAGACAAGAAATGATTTTGACCTCTTATCTACGGCGTTAAAAAGTCGATTTTTCTCAGACGATTTGAAATGGCTTTTGAGACAGTCGCTCACTTCGAGACAACACGGTTTCAGTGAATCTTTGGATTCATATATAAATTTTATTGATAGCACTTATCGACGACTAGGTGTGTCTCAAGTAGATCAGTTTTACTATTTTGTTAACGGGTTGCGTGCAGACATTAAGCGCGAAGTTCTGATGGGTCAACCGAAAGATTATCTCACAGCAGTTAATTTAGCACGCCACACGGAATCGGTTGACCCCACTATTGCGGATAGCCATAGCAGCTTTCAACCTTGTGACTTGTTACGTGACGATTTGTGTCAGGAAATACATGACGGAATGGAATCTTTAAGGGAAAGTTTTTGCCCAAACTTAGGAAGTCGTGATAGGAATCATCAGTCTTCTACGCAATCGTATCGTCGTCGTTATACCGGTGGATTCACACCTCAGGGCCCCATCTACTTCAAATGTGGTGTAGTTGGCCATAAAGCCCGTAATTGTACAAGTCAGCTACATCGTTTCTACTCTTCCGAACCTCGACGAAAAACGCCCAATCATCATGATACTAGACTTGTATCAAATCCCGTCAAACATTTTTCTACTAGTATCAAATGTATTGGAAGTTCTCCTTTCGTTTTGAAACAAGAGGTCAGTTCTCTAAGTCGTGAAAGCAAATTGAAAATCCCTAAGACAATCGAGTATAACTTCGAAGTACGAGAGTGCTCTCTCTTGACCGAAATTGTCGTCGCTGTTGACAAAGATATTGATCCGAATTTGACCGTTGAAACAAGTTTTGAAGTTTTTACTCCCCCTAAAAGCTTTGATACCCCAGTAATAACCTTAACAGAAAAGAAAATATTACAAGCACAAGAAGTGTCATTTATTGAAATTTCAGTGGATCAATATCAAGTTTGTGAGCTCGAAGAAAATGCGAATTATATCGTCGATGATGTTCAGGATGTTTATGCAGCACAAGTATTTGACGCCTTTACATTGAGCGTCTTTTTTTTCGCAAGAGATTTCGAAAATAGAACACATCCAGTCTCAACACCAAGCCTCGGATTTGCAATTGGTTTGTTCCTACGAGAGTAAAAACGATTGCCTTTTCTAAACCGAAAAGTACCTCCTGGCATGCTGGTTCTCTGGTTATAACTGAAGGGCAAAAGAATGATGTATCTCTAAGGTCACCAGGACCATTGATGCTCATCTATTTCTGTAAAACGTCATTATGATAAAATTCCTGCTAAATTTTGGTCAAGTTATCTTAGATGGAACACGCTTGTCATTTTGTGTTCCTTATTCTTTCTTCCGCCCAAATACTTCGGTCGATCTTAACAACTGTGATCTCAGCTTTGTTAAATGGTGTTTATAAGGTAGAGTTATGGTCAGCAAGACGTACGCTAGGGCGAGGAAGTGCCACATTCTCTCTAAAGCGTTGCGTTTTTTTGTGTATACAGTTAACTAACTAATATTTTTGCAATCATCTAAGGATATTTATTGAATCGGGAGATTCAAATTAAAGAGGGAGGTATTGTTACAGAAGGAAATGCGCTCTTTCCATGAATAATCTTTTAGCTTCTAGAAATTGTGATTTTACGTAAATATGCAAACTGATAAGATTAATCATCTTTTATTTAACTAATTTTTATTACGATGGAAGATGGACTGCTGATGTTTTGATATATTAGCAGTTATCTCTTTTGGTAGCAGCTGAATCAGCTTTAATGCTCGGGCATCTTGTTCCCCAACTTTGACATTGGTTTAATTCATTTCTATCTTAAGTGTTAATTGAACGTTAATGAGTAAAACCTATAATCAGATGAGTTAAAAGGGATAGACTATAAAAACAGCAAAAGTCTGTGATTAATCGGATGAGGAAGAACACGAATAGTGAGAACTAAAGGATGAAAAGCAGACAAGGAACTGAGAGAGATAAGAGAAGAAAAGTGAAGGGACAGAGAAACTGTCAGGCAATAAGAAACTCAGTTAAGGAAATTGTAAGTCTATTACTTAAAAATAAATCCTATTGTCCTTCTGAGAACGACTCCATCAACACGTGTCAAGCAAAACCTCTATAGCTTATTACTTGTGGAAAGCTCGTTTACACTGATTTGCATGAAATTAGAAAGCACAATGCGAGCGTCCCATCAAGAATAGCCGAACTGTTTTGGTCAGAGCGTCGCGGAGAGTTGAAAATTTGGTTAGGAGGGGGTTTGTAAATTATATGCTAACCAATGGAAAAGATATTTGGTAATAAGCAATAGTTGATTTCAATTTTTTTTTAAAACGGCAGCTATTGTATTTGACCAGAGAAAATTTTATTCACGGTTAGCGAATTGCCATTTATGGGTATATGTTTACAAGATAAGTATCCAACGCCAAAATAGACTATATATTTTTAAAACAGCGGGATCATTATCAGCAGCTGGCCAAAGGGTGTTATATAAATTTAATAAATAAAAATACGTTACGACATAAATTTATATAACAAGGTAAAAATATTTATCAGCGGCTGCATAATGAAAAAAACGCCGCTTTATATATTTTTTTAATAAAAATAAATAACTTTAAATTAAAATAAATCTTTCTAAATCTATATAGTTAAATCGATTTAAGACCTTGTTAAATTGGATCATTATCAGCAGCTGGCCAAAGGGTGTTATATAAATTTAATGAATAAAAATACGTAACTACGTAAATTTATATAACAAGGTAAAAATATTTATCAGCGGCTGGCATAATGAAAAAAGGCCGCTTTTAATTATATAATTTTTTAGTAAAAATACATAACTTTAAATTAAAATAAATCGCTCTAAATCTATATAGTTACATCGATTTAAGACCTTGTTAAATTAAGCTTAAATCGATTTAAGACTTAGTCCTTAAATCTATTTAAGCTTAAATCGGTTTAAGACTTAGTCGTTAAAACGATTTAAGCGTTAAATCTATTTAGTTAATTAAAACACAGGGTCCAGAGGAGTTTCGTGTGAATAAATGAATGACTTATTTAAAGTCTCACCTTGAAAAATGTCTATACCTGTCGCTTAGCATGATTAATTAGCCCAATGGGATCTTTATAAATCTACTGTAAACAATTTGTTCTCTTCTTATCTGACCCAGAACGACTTTTGAAAATCAATAACCGCAAACCATATCCTCGCTGGCGCATGACACGTCGCCCGAAGGGCGACCGAGGCACAAAGTGCCGAGTAAAAGAAAGGACAAGGGAGGAAACTTGTACCACGTGACTTCGTTCGCTGTGAACCGCATCACTCGGTGACGGAAGTGAATAAGACCGGATACGCAAAAGCAACAGACCGCTTCTAATTCGAGAATCAAAACATTAGCTGCGGAGGGAGTTTTAAAGATCTCAGAGATCTATGCGAAGGTAGCAGAGTTTTAATTGAAGTGAAGATCTTTCAAGACTGGGCATGGAAGAATGGCAGAGTCGTGATGATACTACAGTTGCCTTGTACGTCCGCACTACTCAGCGTCACGTTTTATTGCAAGAGTACACACGGCCCGTAAATCACTATCCGTAATAATTTAACATTCTCCAAACAAAACTAACGAGCTGGGCCAGGCGTGATACAGATATTGCACAAAAAACATTATATTCACGGACTAAAGAAAATCGCTTAGTTATTCAGATCCAGAAGGCACTTTGGAGAAAATTGAAACCCTTATTC